AATTCACTACATAGATGGGATAACACAAAGAAGAAAATATCAAAATGGTATAGTCTTTCAAATGAAACTGCCTAACATCTCTTTAGTTTCTAAGATACCCCAAAGCAGAAATCTCTTGCAGAGCAATCAGAAGGCTGTCTCTGCGTCACTGAGGACTGCAACACAGAAGACATCTAACACTTCACTAAGAATGATGCTTGATATTTGTATTCTGACAGTTTAGGTGCTGATATCATTTATTTCATCACTCTATACATAAAAAATTAGAATTCCTTTCAAGATATTCTTTATTTTTTATCTATATAAGTATAAAAATAGCTCAAAGAAACTTATATGCCTGAAAAATAAGCATAAATGTAACATATCAGGTTCTCCCAGAAGTTATACGTACAACACATCCTAAAAACCATTTCAATTTAAGGACTATGCAATGACACTGTGGTCAGGAGTGATTAAAGGATTATAGTACCACATTTACAGCGAAGATGTCACTGTTTAAAATCTTCACAAATAAGTGGTTTCACCAGGAATACTCTCTAATGAAGTGTTTATAAACACACACTTACAGAACATACTTCATTTCCAAAGGTATAGATATTATGCACTAAGCTTAAACACTCTGATGAGATGGTCTGGAAGACTTTCTTTTAAACGATGTGGATATACAAGTAAGAAAGTAATGTCAAGTTTCTTTAGAGCATGCACAACTTAGACAAAAGCAGCTTCCTGAGCCTTCTTGCCGAATGTCTTTAATCAAGTACTCATTCACCCATATACGCTGAAGGCTTCTTCCGTGCTAGTGATGATTCTTAGCTCTGAGAATGCAGCAGTGATTAAGACCAAGTTCTGACCTAAGAAGGCTTTTGCTGTAGGAGAGAGGTAACAACTACTGAGTATTTACAATGTATCTGTCACCACTGTAAGCACTTCCAATGAATCGGCACATTTAATCATCACGCTAATGCTATGAATTAGGAACTTTTATTATTTTCATATTAAAGATGAAAAGGCCAAAACACAGACAAGCTAAGTAACTTGCCCAGTTAACCCTCTTTCAGGTTCCTTACTCTCTCCATTATTTCCACACAAATGAAACTGTACCTATAGAAAGACCCTACTTTTATTCCTTTCTCTCCCAGCCATCTTAAAAAATAAAAAAAAAAAAAACAAGAAGCCAGTAAGCCACCATTTAGACAGTGCAAAACAACATAATGAAAAGCTTCCAACTCACTGGCTATGTGACCTGCAGCACCTTCCTTGCTCTTCATAAACTTCGGTTTCCTCCTTCGTAAAATGGAATAAAAGCAAAGCACTGATCATTCATGAAGTTACTGAAAGGATTAAACAAGACTGCAATGGAAGGTGCTTAAGCACAGTAGCTAACACAAACTAAGCACCCAACAAACATTAGCTACTGTGTTTAAGGACAATGTTTTTTATCATTGAATGAATGTGAAAACACATTTATTGGTTGCCTATCAATATCTGCCAGCTATTATCAGCATTATACACTATAATTACTGAAAACCCACATTTGAGAGTATAAGATAAGAAACAGAGGTATTATCTTCATAACTTAGTGGCCAAATATTTTTATTACACAGTCCTCTGCTTTCACACAGCTAACTGGCTTGCTCTGGGTGTTTTCATTTTTCTTCGTATTGTAGTGAAAGCCTGATATACCACTACTTGGGAGCCTGAGAATGGTTAACGCCACACTTTTTGTAACTAAGGAAGCTGACACAAAAAGCTAACAGATCTCAGAGACTAGATGAACTGAATTTTTTTCTATCAAAGAGCATAAGTCATATGCTCTGCTAGATTCAGAAAATAAGTAATCTATGAGTTTTTGCTTCACCAATTTCTTTCCACCCAGGATTATACCTATGGTAAAGCTTGCCCCATTGAAAAAGACAGGAAACATCAGCACCTACAGTACTGCTCTATACGACAGCTTTCAGGCTGACCACTAAATGGTTCTCACCCTGTCTCTCCCTGCTTAGTGATCCTCTCACAGTCAGAGCTTGTGCACTCTGCATAGGCCGTTTCATCAACACAGTGTCAGAGACCAAAGCTAAACAAATACCAATTTTCAAAATCTGTACGTCAAAAAGCCATATGCACTCCCTCTTGTAGCACTACCCACAAAATCCAAGATATGGAATCAACCTAGTTTTCCATCAACAACCGGATAAAGCAAATGTGGTGGGGTGGGGGTGTAGTACGCGGTAGAGAACTTGCCTAGCATATATGAGGCTGTGGTTTCAATAATCAGGACAGCAAAAAATAAAAAAAATAATTTTTAAAGGTGGTATAGGTACACAGTGGAGTATTACCAAGCAATAAGTAAGAATACCTTGTCATTTATAGCAATATAGATGAAGCTGGAGGACACTGGGTTAAGTAAAATAAATCAGCCACAGAAGGCTAAATACCACAGGCTCTCATTCACATTCACACATGTAAATTAAAGGAATTGGTCTAGAAAAAAGATTGCCAAAGAGTGAGAAAAGGATGGGGGCTAGAAAAAGATTAGCTATCAGACACTGAAACACTATTAAGAGTTAAGTTCTACTCTATAGTACCGTAGGGTGATTACATTTAATAATTATATTTTTAAATAGCTAGGAGAAAGGATTTTGAACATTCCCAAAACAAAGACTGATAACTGTCTGAAGTGATATATATTCTAGTCACCTTGATTTGATCATTACACATTATATACATGTATTAAAATATCACAGTGTACTCCATAATATGTATGATTATTTTGTGTCAGTTAAATTTTTTTAAAATACTGAATTCTTACATAAGTAGCCATGGTTAGCACAGGTATATTTTTATATGGCAAAAGATGACAAGCATACTTTCATATTATTGGGCTATCAAATGGAAACAGATTTTTTGTTTGAGATGGGGTCTCTCTATGCAGCCAAGGCTGGCCTTGAACTCATGGCAATCCTCCTGCCTCAGGCTCCCGAGTGCTGGGATTATAGATGTGCACCACTACGTCTGGCTCAGAACCAAAATTTCTTAATGGTTATTTATCTACAATATAGCATAAACTAAGACCTACACCATATATAAATGTATAATAAATATAAGTAGAAGAAAGTTCCATTATAGATTTCCAATGTTTTACTCTTATCGTTTAACATAGGTGTCTGAATTCTTTAGTGTCAGATATACTAGTTCACCTTTACATTCATCTACTCTTAAATTTAAATCTAGGCTCCAGGGTTCTGCCAGTTACTTGCTGTTGATCTGAGATTACTTGCTGAGATTACTGGCTTGGCTGATGTTTTTCAATTATGAAATGAAGACACTGCCATCTATTTGACAGGCCCGTTATGAGAATTAAATGAGATGATATATTCAAAGAGCTAAGTATGGTGTCTGGAATACGGTAAGTATTCACTGAAATGGTAGCTATCATTATCATTGCTTCTAGTTTTCTAGGTACAATGCACACTGATAAATTACAGGTAGGTGGTAATGTGTACTAACTGGCTTTACTAGAGTCTGGGAAAGATAGTGGTTTAAACCGTAGGTCTCTTACGTTGCCTTCTTACTATTCACAGAATCACAGCCACAGACGCCATGCTTTGTCCCCCAAACGTGGCATTCCTAGGCATCAGTTTCCTTCTAAAGCCCTAAAATCTAGCTTGGGCAAAGTTTCTATTCATGAGTTATGACAAATACTAACCACTGTGAGATTCTGAATCAAGATAGCAGAAGTAAAGGATTATTTTACCATCATTGGAACAATCTGAAATCATACTGTATTCCTGGCTACACGGAATACTGACAATCAAGTTTAAAACATGCATTTTAACCTTACCATAAATAATGGAACAGAACTGTAACCCATAAAAGTACAAATATTTTATGTTTAATTATATAATAATATATATTTTAGATAAATTGATGGACACTCTCATGAAAAAGCAATGAATATTTTTTTGGAGAGCATTAATTTGGATACTAATAACAAGATAGGATATGAACATGTAAAAAAACTGACAATGAATTTTCCAAAATTAAAATTCTACAGGTTAATAAACTGAGGAATGAAAAAAATATATTTCAAAATGTAAAACAAAGACTGAGTTTTAAGAGCCACTTCTCTTAAACACATTGGAAAATCTACAGTGCTTCTAAATGAGGACAATCTCTTGAAATATCAGGCTTCCCATAATCCACAGAATATGGATAATTTTTTCTAAAGGAGACAACGGGCATTAAAATGAGAATAAAGCACACACTGAATTCTGTGTTGTCCAACTACATTATTTTAACCTTAAGGAAAAAAATGCCCACAAAAATATAACTGTGAAAGAACAGAAGGATATCTATAACATTTGAAAATAAATGTTTCTGAAAATGTTTCATTATAAGTTTATCTTAAAGTTGCCTGAGGTTTTATGATTTGGTGTTCTGAGTTTAACACATGAAATGACCCAGTTTGTACATATTATAATGCTCAGTGAGACTAACTGTTAAAGAGTAAAGCACTCTTTAATACAAAATAGTTAGGTTCTAGTTGTACTGAAATTAAATTACCACTTAAGAAGTGTTAGATATATTTTGAAATTAACATTGAGACTTGGCAGGTATTCTCTTGGTAATTTTACCAAAAGTCATTTATTTTAAAACAGAAAAAGCAACAGAGACTAGCTTGAAGAGATAACAGCCTAGCATCTTATTGTCCTCTGCTGATAGCAAAGTATGTTCTTTTACTACTGCACTTTGCCATAAAACACATATTTTTCCTTTATAAAAACACTTTCCTGGAATATTTTAATAGGTTAGTTTTAGGTCTTAAACAAAAACATTTTTTGTGTGAAATATACTGCTGCATGATAGAAGAAAAATGTAGAAAAATTTATTTGCATTGCCTTTAAATTATTCACAATACTTTTCGGCTGTCATTCTCTCCAGTTAGTGCAATTTATTTTTCTCTATGCCTCAGTAGCAAACAATGTTATTTAGACGCTAACCTGGCATGCTACAACCTCTGGCCCGCCCTTGAGCCCCTCCATTGCGAAGGTCTCCAGGTGCAGTTTGGGTAGCTGCAGGGCGAAGTCATTCCTACTTGCTGCGCTCCGTGACAGCGAGATCTGATCTCTGACCTAAAGGGAAAAAAACAGCATCAATGGTAATTCCCCTTCAGACACATTAACTGGGATGAACTGGGTCCCCCTGAGCCCACTGAGTGGACTTGCATTGATCGCTGGACCTGAAATCCATGAATAAATTTAGGACTAATTGATTTTTCGTTGCAAATAAATCTCTAATTCAGAGTGCTGGGGGAGAATGTTAAGAAGAAAAAGCATCCTCCTGCTTGAAATGAAGAAGGGGAAGAAGAGTCACTGGAGCTCTTCTGACCAAGAGGTTTTGAATTTTTTTCACAGTTCCAGCCTGCAAAGAAAGAAGAGTCGGGGGCAGGGGGGGGGGGTTGATAAACTCAAAAGCAAACAGCAATCACCTAATTATTATCCCTTTCATAAGACACATTTACCTGATACTAACTAGCACACGTTGGATCCAACAGTCATTAGGTACCAGTCTCTGAAAGAAACTTCACCTGCATGCACCCGGAATGAAACCACATACACTCAACATAAAAGGCATTTTAAAAATACTCAAGCGAGAGGTCTGCTTACCCTTCCACTCTTCTAAGTTTACAGAACTGTGTTAGACTTGAGTCTTAATGATTAAATACATACAAAGCAACTTACTCACACAATTCTCAAATAAGATCACTGAGGTACAATCAGTAATATTTCTACTATATTTTAGTATTCAGAAAGGTAACAAGGCAAGCACACCACAGACGAAGAAAAACACTGTACCAATATTCTAGCCCATATGAAATCAGAGGCCATTGATATCACACTGCCACCTTCTGGACAGTGAGAAAATAATCTCTACAAATACAGATAAAGTACAACGGAATTCTCAAAAACAGGTATTTTGGGTATGAATTTCCAAACTTACTAAAAACCTTAAGAATTCCACATTCTAGTTTGAATTTAAGTAAGTTCTAGCTTTTAATCATATGATATAATTATAGGGTCTTTCACATGTACGAATATTTTCAATTTATGCCTGAATGGGTTTTTAAAATTTAGTTGTTTACTACCATATATTTGACAAATTTAGAACTAGCCTGTAGTCATAAGACAGAACTTTTTTTTTAATTAGGAAGCAAAGATCAAGAATGGAGAAAACTACAAGAATAATATTAATTGCCCAAGTAAATGTATTTATATTTCTAGTTTTATCTGGACAGCTTCAAATGTAACTTGACAAAAAATTGTTTTAACTCTCCATTTTTCTGTGATACTTGGGGAGCTTATGAAGTTTAAATATATTTAACTATATGAATGAATTATGTAAGAAATATAAACAACTCACAAAACTATCATACTCTATAGGGTTTCTTTAAATAAGCAAACACACAAACATATGACATTTTAGTTGTCCATGCTAATCTGTGGTCATAAGGCTCCGCATTTCCTATGTTGATCTTAAGGCTTTGTCAATACATTAATATCAAAATGCATGTTGCAAAGCACACTATGATACAATTTTCATAATAGTGAGTACTTTATACTCACTGGAGTTCCGATTCAAGATGCGTATTTCTCTGAAACATTTTCCAGAGTCATCAATCATGGTGAGAATGCTGCTACACTTACTGAGGTAGCATACCAAAATAAATCATACTTTACAGACATAGGTACCAGAGGCTTTATATTTTATATGTATGGGTAATTTCTCTCTTGTTTTTGTCACACATTTCTGTGTATGGATAATTTCTCTCTTGCTTTTTTGTCACCAATGTGCACTCAGATAAAAGAAAACATTAATGTGGATTAAGGTACTGAGAATTTACCAACATCAAACCACTAGTGTTTTGCTTCTACCCTTCTGAACCACAGTCAATAGATTTAAATATTTTACTGCACCCTGGCCAATTCATTGTTTGATGTTTAAAAACTCACCCAGAATCAAAGAAAATTTATTAAATTTGAGCCCCCAAATGAGATACTATTAGCTTTGAAAGTCAAGTTTAACTGCGATATTGATGATTCTCTTTTTTCTGTGACAAAACTCACCAGGGAAATCCTGGATGTCAAAGTACAAAAGCAGATTGCTAATATGGGCAAAGAGGGGGAGAAGAAACCATAGGCAGTGTAGGTATAATCCACTCCACAGTTCGAGCACTGGAGGTCATTTAATCTCATTAATATCAGGCACCACACTTCATCCACGAAGCCTGACATGCACTGCACAGTAAGTCACATTTTACATTCTCTAAGTAAACTTTATGAGCAATAGTAAGCTATTTGGCACTTAAAATTATGATTTATTATCATTTTAATATTTTCACAGCACATTAATTTGCCAAATTAAGTAATTAGCTACATTAGAAAAAACTTCCAAACAGCATGTTTCTGGGCTGCACATAATGATGTACATGGTAACTGCATTATTTGAATAACATGTGTGTGCTTGAGGAGTTTTTGTTGTTTGTTTTGAGACAAAGTTTCACTGTTTCCCAGGCTAGCCCTGAACTCCTGGGCTGCAGTGATCTTACTGCCTCAGCCTCCCAAGTTACTGGAATTACAGGTACCACACTCAGTTTAATATACATATTGTAATACTCTCATTTATTATAAAGTATCTGTTGAATGTTGGCATTGCCACTAAGATACAATGATTCAAGATAAATAACGAGTATAATATCACAAACATTTCTACTAAAATTATGAGTTTTCCAATTTTAATTAAACTGAAACTTCAAAAGATAGCATCTAAAATGCTCTTCAAATATTTCTAGAAAGGATTTTAGAAAAGTTTGATAAATATTACATGGTTTCTCTTGTACAAGAAATTCAAATATAAATAACTTAAAGAGCAAAATATAAGAGAGACGGTAGGAAACAGTGAGGCAGGTGTGTGGAGACAGGAAGAGAAAGGAGGAGAGAGAGGGGCGTGTGGGAGGAAGAAGGGAAGGTGAAGTTGGCCGCAGTGTGGTATGCAGACGTGCTAGTTCCCCACGGTGAACGCACTTATGTACCACAGACATATGCCAACAGTAAAGAAACAAAATTAAAAGAAAAATCTTAAGAGGGGCTGTCTGCTGGTAGTTTTTATTTTAATGAACAGACAGTGAAAGCATCACGTTGAGAGAATGGAAAAAACTGACACTAGGACAAGCAAAAATGTAACAGTGCTGTCAGGAAGCAGGTAGGAAAGGTAAGACAGAGGGACAGGAAGGCCAAGGGAGAGGCTGCTCAGAAGGTACGCAGAAGGCAAGTATGAGTTCTAGGGTGTGAACGTCTCGTCCTATAGTTAGGGTTCTACACCTTTTCATTCTCACTTATATATAAATATCAGCAATAAAATACACAGACAATGTGTTCTACTTTAAAATGCCCAGTAACCCATTCTTAGCACGTACTAATTTCTTCACAGAACCTCACAATAGAAATCTCGAGTATCAATTTTATAGTTTATAACATTCTTAACAGTCAATTTTTTAATATTTAAAAAAGCACAAAGAAAAAATAAATGTATTACTTCTAATCTTAAGTTTTGTTTTTTCAAAAAGGTATTTATTTTTGCACTTTATTACTTTTAAAAAGCAGGTATTTCTAACATAGTCATAAGAAAATGAGAAAAAAAATAAAAGTTTCTAAAGAATGAAATAGTCACAAGACATTTATTTCAAAATAAATACATCTTTTAAAATGCTTCATTATGCTAATTTGGTTCTGAACGACTGGTAAGATCTACGTTTATGGGTCTAGTCCCATGCCTGGTCCTCTGCAAGCCTTCATTCACAAACCACCAGCGTTTTCTAATTTCCTGTACTTGTATCACAAAACAAAACGTTATTTCTATAGATATAGCAACTATGAAATTAGTTATCCCTAGAAAAATTGATCAACTCTTAAAATGTGAACCTCTTTTATTGTGTACAGCTATACAGGTCCCAAACTTAAAAAAAAAAAAAGAAAACATACAATAGATACCAAGCCAGAAGATGTTAGAGTATGAACAAAAAACTAAAACAGATTTCAGGACACATAAGACAAGCACAGCGCCTGAATTCTGAATCCCTGAAAAAAAATAAAATATGTATGGGTTTGTTGTTGTTTTTTGTTTTGTTTTATTTTGTTTTTAGACAGGGTCTGGCTAAATTGCCCAGGATGAAATTAAACTTGCAAACCTCTTGCCTCAACCTCCTCTAGTGCCAGGTTTACAAGCGTGCGCCACCACACTCAGCTACACCGTAGTCTTAGTCTGCCTAACGCTTTATTTACTCCACTGTAGTATGGCCTCTAATGCTACAGAATGAACCTTTTGCCGGAGATAGTCTAATACAAGCACAAATCTCTACAACATCTCTGCCTCCACTTTGCTGCCTTCTTTCGTCCCACTCCATCCTTGGTACCTTCCTCCGTCTCCTTTGATCCTTACTGCTGCCCTGTCCCCTTCAATTTCACTTCTCACCCTGTGCAGTAGCGCACACTGCACTATTTTTCGGTCTGCTCACACCACATCCAGCCCGTCGCTTGTTACCGTACACGAGGTTTTTACGGGCATTCACACAGCCACACCCATCTGCTCACCTACTGCCTGTGGCTGCTTGCCTGCCACAAAGGCAGAGCTGGCTGGTTGAGACAGAGACCGTACGGGTCACAAAGCTTAAAATGTTTACTGTCTAACCTTTAACACAAAAGGTTGTCCTAGAAATATGGAAGGAAACACAAGGTGTTTTTTTTACCACCTAAACGTCTATATTATTATCTCCATAGAAAAATAAACTTTGTTTCATCAACACAGGGTGCTATTTCAAGGAAACTCTCTGGTTCATTTTTTTTCAACTGTTTTATGAAACAAGTATTATGTATTAATTTTCAAGTCTTACATGATCTAGTACTCAACTTGATTAGGTCTAATCCTCTGACACAACCACTGACCACTCATTCCAATACCTAATCAACAGAAGACCTGGTTAAGTAGAATGGGCATACTGGACAGCCTTTTGTAACTACAGAGAGAAGGGAGCTAGTCAGAGTCAATTATTACCCTCTAAGAACACTAATGCCAGAAA